ACGAGGTGAAGCATATCCGTTCTATCGGCAACAAGGGCTCCATTCCTGTTTTATTATGGGCAAGTATCCCTTGCACTGGCGGAACTGCTTGGTCTCATATTAACATGAATCATGACACCGCGAAAGAGAAGGTGAAGCGACATCGATCCATTTACAAAAGAATTTGGTCTGCCTTCGTTGACCTCGTGAACTCAATGGAATTTGCCAAACCGTTGATTGCTATTGAATGGCCTAGGAGTTGCACTTATTGGGACGATAAGGCTGTTGACAAGTTCGTAATTCGAAACAATATGACTTCTGTTAAATTTGATGGTTGTGCTGTTGGTGTCAAAACTACCGATGGGATTCCTATGAAGAAACCATGGACCGTGAAGACCAACATGCATTGCCTCCACAATTACCTTGATGGAAGAGTATGTTCTTGCGCTGTCCAACATGCTGAAGGTAGGGGACGGAATCTCAAAAATACTGAATCCTACACTTACATCATGACGGACTTGATTCACAAAGCTTTTGCTTATGCAGTGTCGGTTCAAGAAAAGGTTGTCCAAACACGGATTCTCGTTGCGACCATGGCTGAAGCACTGCCTGTGGAGAAGGCCCTCAAGACGGTGCGCTCGGCGTTCGATGCGAGGAACTACAAAGATGTGCCGCTCGCTCGCGTTGACTACGGCTCGGACTACATCCTGCACGATGGGAAGGTGAAGGCCGAGGTCATCCCCGACGAGCTGCGCGTCGCCAACCGAGAGGCTTGGTCAGACATGTTCCGTGATGCGGCAACTCAATCATTCATCGTCAAGGACGTGAACTCCGGTGTCGACCTTGCCAAGATGAGTGAACGCACCGATGCGCTGGCTCTCGCCAAGAATGCTATGTCATCGTTGACAGGTGCTGCGGGTGTTCTCAAAGAGGCTCCGGTTGAGGCTTTCGATATCCTCTTCTGCCCGGGGAAACCCGCGGTCAACTATCTGTTTTTCGGCGACTCCTTCAACGCATTGGTCAAAGATGGAGCAAAGACAGATGTTGGCACCATCATCAAGGAAAACAAGCGGACGCTGTTTGGGCACAAGCACGAGGTCTGGTCCGAAATGACATGGGGCAAAGGACTGGCGGAATCTCTTGATGCCGCTGAGCGGGCAATGCTAAAGCTCGCCGAAAGGCCCGAGCCCCGGCCGTACGTCATCGTGATCTCCTGGTCTGGAAATGATGTCATTGGGCGCAACGGGTACATCGAAAACCCCGCCGCCCTAGCGGGCTGGGCCACTGACTCCGAGGCAAAGCGCAAGGCTGCGATGGACATCATCGAACGGAACGCCCGCGCAGTGATGACTGTCCGTGACCGGCTGCGGCATATTGCTTATCGGGAGGACGTGATTCAGGTCGTGCTCATCGTACCCCGGGACTTTGAGACGTACGGATTGAGCGAATCTTACAAGACTCAAATGGACGGTCATGCACGTCTGTTGCACGGTTCCGTGGGAATCACCGTCCTCGACCCCCAGACTCTCATATCCAACACGTCCCGGGCAGACCGCATCCACACCGATGACACCGAGCGCAACAGAAAACATTACATCAACTTCTATGTGGCCGCCGCGAAGCTCGGGTACTGCATCGGCCAAATCAACCGCTTCGCAGGGGCTATGAACTGGTACCTCCTCGAAAGGGAATACATGAACATCGACACATCTATTCCCATCGTCGGTGCCACACCCCAGGAAACTGGCGGTCCGGCTGTTGCGAAGAACCCCGAGGACCCGTTCGACAACGAGGTCCGCGAGAGGGAGCTTGAAGCAATCAATGAGATTGCTGCGCAAGAGCCGAAGCGCGAACTGTTCCTGGAAGCCGAGAAGGAAGCGAATCCTCTTTATCCTCTCGATACGGTCAAGGAAGAGGCGAAGATTTTGCAAATGATGCAGCCCGACATCCACGCGGCGACCGTCAGCGGCCTCAATGACGTTATTGATTGGTCCTTATCGTCCGTTGAGGAGGACTTAATCAGCTTTGACCTGCCCCCGGGCTCTCAGCCCAAGGTCAGCCGGCCGAAAGGCCAGGCCGTTGAGGTTGCCGCAGTGGATCCGAACGATGTCGGCGAGGACGGCCAGATCAAGCTGTTCCTCACTTCCAAACGGAAAAGTCATAACAAAATGACTGCAGCTCTCAGTGCTGCGACACCAAAGGTGAAATCAAAGGCGATGCCAATGCCTGCTGCCTCATCCAGCGGTCAGGCGCCCGTGGCTGGGACTGGCAAGACTCAGCCCGGAGAGATCCGTGGCCCGGAGAACATCCCCAAGGCGAAGGCAGTTCCCAAAGCTGCTTCAAAGCCCGTGGCCAGGCTGCTGAACCCAAGAGGGAGTGGATCAAGTGCTCAGGAATCAAGATTCCCCAGATCCAGAACTATGGCAGAAGGACGTTCCTGAGCAAGAAGGTGTCGTATTTGGTTCGCGGACATGCCCACGAACATGCGACACGGTCCATCCCTGAGATCAATCTCAAGGACAACTCCTTCGACTATGCAGCCGTTGCCAAGTGGATCCAGCGCCGATATGACTGGAACTGCTCCCAATACACTCTGCTTCAGGCCACGTCCACATCGAATCGGTTCGAGGTCTATGTCGAGTACGCGCCGGCCGGACAGCAATGGAACGGGCTCAGTTTCATGCCCCTACGCATTCGCGCGTTCACCGGCCACAACGATTGGGTGACTGAGGCCAGTGGCTTTGACAACATTCCTGGAGATCCCATTGCAATGGATGTCAACTACTCCATCGAGCACGCAAAGAAGGGTGTGCGACCGGGCTTCTGCAAAGATTTCTCGGACGCACGCCGAAAGGCGCTGCCCAAGATCGCCTACCACACGTGCAACATGCAGAACTTCTTTGACATCATCTACATGGGCATCTTTCCGGGCGGCATGGGGGACCGGCAAACCTCGCGTGGTCACGCCTACCTAACGGTGGTGCCTCCTTGGGACAGGCATGGCCGGAAGGCGGGGGGTGCGCGTGCTGACCGACCCATCAACATCGCCGTCGATGTGGAGATGTTGATTCAATTGGGGTGTCGGCTGTACGCACCCGGAGACGGGGAAGCCCTGGTGACGGAGGATTGGATCACGAACAAGGTCCTCATCTACGCCTACGACGCTGAATGTGCCAAGTTTATCTGGTCCAACCGGATGTACGTCAGCGTCAGGCGGAACTACCAGGAGAGCATCAAGAAGTACCGAGAAGAGACCCAGAAAGGCGTCGTCGGTACCCCGGTGCTGGAGTCCTTCATGGCCAACCTCGAGAAGGAATGCAAGGCCTACTACAAGCAATGGGCTCCAACGGCGTGCCGTGACTTGACTCGGCCCCATCGCATCGGCAACATCACGAAAGTCAAGAATGTCTTCGATGAAAATCTTCCGAAGGACGAGCAAGTCATGCTTGAGTTCGAGACGGCTCGCTACGGCCTCTACCGTAATTGGGCCCGTGCTGTGACGCAGCAGCCCGGGGAAACCCGAGGCCGGAGTGGCTTGTGGCAGGAGCTCGACCCCAACCGGAAGAAGGCCACAAACTGGCGGTTTGCCGAAGTGATGCATATTCCTGATGTCGCGCGATCGCTGCCAGATTCTCATTCCAGTTGGCACTATCAACTGCTTTCAATGCGGCCAGTTGATGGAACGGATGCCGGACATCAAGAAGATTGCCAGGGTGGTCCGGTTGCAGGAGATGGCCAACACATTGGGCGTGCCGTTGTCCATGGACCAGGTTGAGACTCAGATCTTGACGCAGCGAAAGGATGCGCGGGGGGATAGAAGCGCAAGAGGGGGCCTCGGCATCATGAAGGACATTGCCAAGAAAGCAGTTCTTCGCAACAAGGAGTACACCACGCTCTACGAGAGGCTGATCAATGACCCCTTTTACGCCTACACTGCCGCGCGGGGAGACCTGACGCCGTCCGCCCTCGAGTTCATCGAGAAAGTGGCACGATGCATCATTCCGAATTTCGTGAGAACCAAGGAAATGATCCAAGGAAGCGTGGCTGTGCCGAAATATCACGCACGGCTAACGCTGGTGCCGCCTACGGAGGAGGTGCAGGAGGTCGACCCGAAGGACGTCTACGTTGTGCATGGCGGCAGGTTTCTGGAACCAGAACAATTTGCTGCACTTTACGGAAGCCTTGACAAGAGCAACCGCTACAGCGTGATGGGCTGGACCCGGGATTTCTCGTCTGTGGGAGACCCCGAAATGGTTTTGGTGGAGTTGCTCTGCTTCGTCGAAGAGGAGATCCCCAACATCGAGATCCCTGGGCGGGCCACCCCGCTCCCTGCAGTTGTCGGTGTGACGCGCAAGCCCATTCCGCAGCTCCGGGAGACCGGTGGCCAATGGCAGGATCGTCAATGGAGCCAGTCGTACTGGGGAAGTTGGGGCCAGTCCTGGGACTCGTGGTGGTCTGATGATCAGCGCCCGTGGAAGAGCTCCCGCAATTGGGATTGGCGATGAATGAGCGATCTCTTCGACAATATTTTCTATCTTCGGCTGACATCCATTTACATTTCAAATTCAATTTCCATTATACTTCTCAATCATGTTGGCCGAGGATCAATGTACAGTGCACGAGCACGCCTCGCGAGAGCGACGGTCAGTGGAGGCGGAAGACCTTAGCTACCGATCGCTCAAATCCAAGTGCTTGTGTGCTGCAAAATGACATCATGCCTATCGGGTTTCTTTGGTTGTCTCATCCCTTTCATTTGTCCTCCTGTTTCACATTCGGGCACGGGGGGTGTAGTTTGCAACGTGATGTATTTATCAACCATGTAAACCCCAATGCATGCATGTCTCACTTGTGCAGTCTCATCATTACGACTGCACGTGGCTCAAGGAAAAAGCGCGCTGAGTACAGGGTTCAATTGTGACCCTTCCCGGTTGTTTAACCTGTTCTATAAAATTCCCCCCCCTCCCCCCCAATTGGGAGGCAGCCTCCCAGGAAAAACGATTCGGGCGCCGCCTGTTCGCCAGAATATGATGGTCTCGGTGTCCGACATGCTGCGAAGACAAGGGCGCTTGCAGAAGCAGCACGACAGGAAGCGGCGACCGGCCACACGGTCTGGGCTTTGTTGGGTAGCGAAAACTCTGCGGAACTGAAATTGTTGGTGGTCCTGTTGCTTTCACAAACCAACCGTGCCCCAAAAGGGTACCCTCAAAACTCAAAAGGACACACACACACACACCTCATGACTTTGTGGCCGGCTTACCAGCACGTCCCTATGTGATCTTGTAGCTTTTTAGTGGGGAAGTGTTCAGCTATCCGTTGCCTTTAGTTTGATTTAGGGGAAATTATCAAATACGTCCCATTTAATATCCATTGGGGAGCACCATGTTTTGTGGAAGAGTAGTGGTTCAAAGATGACCAATTGCCTATTGAGCACAAACAGACAGTTGGGACACCGATCCAATTGTGGGTCCCAAGCATGGCGAGATCACTGCCCATGATCAAGGTCCCTGCGCCAATTGGTAGGCTGGTTTCGTCTGCCGCAGGACAAAGCAGATCATCTTGGCCGTCTTTGGCCGCAGCGCTGTTGGGCGCTAAGGTGTCTGTTTCACGCCCCTAAGTCCGACCAGCTAGCTCACGCTTTGTAGGACACGCGGACGGCTACTTCAAAAGTCCAAACAGCCTGAACATGATGTTTGCGCAGATCGGCCGCCCCCTTTCTCAGCTGGATGGCATGGGCAATCATTATACGCAGTATATGTTCACCAGGAAACGACGATATTACGTGCCTCCCCTGACTGGTGCGGAGTAGGTGACATGCTTTGATGGCTGGTGGGCTGTTGCCTGCGTTGCCCGGATAATGTCGGGGGTTGTTCCTCAAAGAAAGACATCTCAGGAGGAGCCACCCCCCCCCCCTGTTTCAACACCTGGCAAGTGTCCAAAAATCCTGGGGATTTTAGCAGACACTCTGGTTCCCTGAGCTAAGGGCTTTGTCACGCTGCTTGCTTGTGGATGCTATATTTGTTGAGGCTTACCCTCCCACAAACCCCGTTAAAAAAGAGTTTCCTTTTAAGGGACCCCGCCATTTTTTTGCCAAGCCGGGCCCCTGTTGACTAGCTCACTTTGCGATTGCCAGTCCGAAGTCGGGCCCCCTGAAGTCAGGATTGCTAGAGCATTGTGAATTAGTACAATTTTGTCCGCCCCCCTCTCTCGGCGCACTCAAAGCTAAGCAGGCTGATTATTCGTTTAGAGCCCCGAACGGTTGATCCTCTATGTCCATTTCCCTGAGGCAAGTGAGCAAGGTTGTACTGAGCCCTAGAAGTTTGAGAGTTCGATCCCTTCACTTGAAGTGAGCCATGTTCCAGCACTCATTTTATGCTTTGACATGTGCTGGTGCTCGGTAGGGAATGAGAGAATGACCCCCTATAAACCATCCCCTATGGTTTCCTTTAAGGGAATCCCTAGGATCATTCCCTCATTCCCTGAGTCCTGGCAAGACGAAGTTTGAGGGCGGGTTTTTTGCCCCATTCACCCCTGTTTTCCAGCCACTTCCGTCTTAAATGGCCGTGGGTCGAAACCAATCAGATCCCATTTTGGGGTAGGTGAATATTCACCCATTTGAGTCTATTGTAGTGGGGATCGGGATGTTCATTGGGGGTGCGAGGAATTCGACCCATGGCCAAATGGGGTCCCGGCTCAGGGCAACACGCAGCACGCCTCCGGCTTGCGCAGCATGGGCAGTATGGGCAGCATGGGCAGCATGGACAGCAGCACGGGCGCCGTGGGTCCTGATTTGGAGGCGCCGTCCGGGGTCGCTTTGGGCGCCCGTTTTGGGACGTGTTCTGGGGCATAGTTCTCCTTTTTGGTTTGAAACAAATAGAGGGCGATTCCTGATTTAGATGAAGTTCATGCCATCCATTCAGCGCCATCGATTTTTCCAAAAGGCCATGGTTGGCGGCCTTTCCCAAGCCCCAACCCGCCAATGGCAAAGATCTGCCCCAATGGCGAGTGAGTCCAGCGATCCGGGGGTAAAGCGGGCAAAACGAGCGAACAGTATGAATAAAAAAACCGTTTGGGGATTCCTTATTACAAATTTCTGGTTTTGGCAATATTGTTAAAACAAATGCAGCAAAGATGGCCGACCACCAAATGACCGTGACTACTACTCCTTTGACCTAACCCCCCCCACCCCCGGCCCCCCCCCCAGCCCCCCCCCAGCCCCCCCCCCCCGCGCCCGCCCACACCCCCCTCACGTGCAGCCCAATGACTTGGGCGAAAACAAGGCGAGCGCGTTTGGGCTTCAAAATAGGGCTTCATGGAAGTGAATCCAGCACGGACAGAGCACAGCTTACCTCCATTGGTTTTCAGGCCCCTTTGCAAAGGCCCCTTCGTTTATTTATGTCAGTACAGGGGTAAACCCATCAGATGGGGAATTGTGACATCTACTTTCAATCTGCAAACATTTAATTCAACGTGTGGTTGCAATGAGCAACTTGGGGCCTGTTTCGAGGCTTTTTTTGCATGCTGGAAGAGAACTTGACAAATGGACCAAATGGAGGGCCATTGCGGCATTGACGAAGGTCTGGCACTTTGGCGACAAAGTCGTCTCCAGATTCTGCAAGTGCGGTTCCGCTCCTGGCACACTGGCGCTTGCCGTAGAACTTGACGCGGTCGGAATCAGAGCTAGAGCTTGAGCTGGTCATCGTGGGAACGCTGGTGCCCGACGAGGTGCTCAAACTTGTGGTTGCGGAGCTGGAGCGCGAGTGGGTCGCAGTGGGACGTGTCGTGGCACTGCTGAAGCGTGATGCGGTCGTGCTGGAGCCTGACGTGCTTGACGTGATCATGCCGCAAGTGGACAAGAGGTTTATTTGGGGCTTGAGCTGAATAGCTGGTCACAGGGCTTGACGTTGTAGTGCCAAATGCTGGAGCTTGATGTGGCTGTGTTGGAACTTGGCGTGGCAGCGCGGGTGCTTGACGTGGTGGTGCTGGAGCTTGAGCTGGTCGCACTGGAGCTCGACGTTGCTGGAGCTTGATGTGGCTGTCTTTGAACTTGATGTTGCTGTGCCGTTCAGATCATCTTTGGTTGAAAACCCTTGAACACGGGAACCGCAATCAAATGGCTGTTAGTTATGTCTCCACCTTGCGGGCCACTGGTTGCAACAGGTGGCAGCATATTTTGGTCACTTGGGCATTCTACCCAAACAGGTGATCCATCCTCAGCGTGGCTTACATTTGGGAGGCATCAGACAGAGGTACATGTCAGATGTGCTGGTGCATGACAGCTTGAGGCTGAAAGGAAGCCAACAAAAAGTGAGTGTTTCAACAAGGTCCTGGTTTCCAGTCGAAATTCTCCGTGGCTGGACGGCGAATTCTTGGCTGTTTCCGGGTATCATGAGGTCCGTGCGGAAGCTTTCAGGCAGCGGCAACCATCGCCCGGCTACAGCTGGCTGTGAGGAGCAACAGCCACGACTCGGAGGATCTCCGAGAGACGGGGTTCGGGCGGCGCATTGCGGAGCCATGTGGACGGACAAAACTTTTTACCCTCATGTGCAGGCCTGTGTGGGTTCCTATGGCTGTCAAGGGCTATTCTCCAACAGATAGTTGGCAACCAGAAAAGGCCGTTCTCGGGGGCGCTCCTTCTGTGGATGTAAGCCATGGTTCTAAAAAAGGGAATCCGCCAGCTGGTGGGTGGCAAGACTCAGGGATTTGAGAGGCCAGGGTCTAATGTCCTCACACCAAATGGACATGCCAACCATCGATGAGATTCATATATATATATATATGTAAATATATATATATGTAAATGTATATATATATATATATATCATCATACAGACATACACGCACATGCAATATACAGCGTGTTAACATATATACACTTGCGCACATATGTGTATGTGTGTGTGTGAGTTTTCCGAGAACACGTCAACCACATACTACAATATGTGTTATACATGTATCTAGTATCTACATAATCAGTTTACATGACACATAGATAGATGCACATACAAGTTTAAGTACATGTGAAACATGCAAACACGTGCAAATACTAAATATTATTTGTATATATACATATATATATATATGTATATATACATGCCACACCTCTAAGAGGAATCATGCTTCGTATATGGGGCCCGCCTGGGGCGTTCCACCACCCGCCGCGTGGTTCACGCCGGGTTCCGATTTCCCCAATGCGCGAGGAGCGCAAGGTCCAGGCCAGCTTCAGCATCGAGAGCTTCGAGGCGGTTCCGCGCAGAGTTCCGGTTTCAACATAGGTGTCAGTTGTTCAGTGGCACCAATTATGTTCCCCTTTTTTTGGGGTGTTTGCCCCACTAAAAATGGTATTCGCCAAAAAGGGTTCCCTTTTTTGTCCAGGGTCACTGAACAACTGAGAGGTGTGTCGTTCTTGGGGCCCTCTCCCAAGCTGGTGTCTTTTTCCTTTTCCTCCCAAACTGGTGAATGCTTTGGGGGCAAACTTCTGTTTGTTGCTTCCGTTTCCTACCAAACTGGTGACTTTTTTGGGGAACCCTTCAAAATTGTGGTTTCCTTTAAAGCCCACCAAAGTGGAGTGGAGTACCGTCAGACAAAGACACACCCAGATGGTTATGGTTGTCAACGTCCCAGATCTCCAGCTATTGGAGCCGAGAGAGACCTCATTACAGGAGAAAATCGTTTTTTTGTTTGTTAGGATGCTGCAGGTGTCAAGGGATAGGCACGATATTAGTGGGGTTGCTGCAGGTGTCGTTCTTGGGCTGGTTGGTGAAGTACTCCATTTTGCCCAGGCAGGTTCTTCTTGTTCCGTATGCCCCTGATTGAAGACGAGCGCAACTTGATTTGGCTCACTTTGTCTATTGTTAGGCTGATTGCAACTGAGTTATCTCTAGGTGGGCCACAATCAAAACGCAGGCAGGGGCCGGTCCCCACCGGTGCGAACAAAACCCTTTTAGTTAATTAAGAAAAAGCAGTACGTAGTTTTGGATACCCTCCCGCCAATGAATATGGAACCTGATGTTGGGGGGTCCTGGAAGACGTTTCGAGGGGACCTACTGCCAAGGTTCCAAGAAATTGATTGGAGGGTAGATCTTTTGAGTACATTGTTCTGCCATTCTCACTTGGTTTGTGAAAACAATGTCAGGAGAAAATGGCAGTAGTTCGGCATATTGCGCACACTTTCGGGAAGAACTACGTCAGCCAGGGTACCCACTAAAAGTCAGATAATGTCGAATATTGGCATAATGTTCAGAAAAGACAGAACCTCAGTTGGTTGCTTTATGCTTTTAAAGGTTTGGACCATGTACAAAAAAGTCCAATCCACGGACGGCAGGAGCGGCAGGTGGGAGAGAGCCTGCAGGCGCTGGCTTGAGCCTGTGGTTTTGTGGCCTGCCCTTGTTGTTACGAACTCGTACTGACGGTTCGTGTTCGTATTTCCTTTGCCGCCGATGTTGCGCTCCTGTTTGTCGGAAAGTACCCTTCCACCAAGCACGGGAAGTGTGAAAGAGGCCTTTCGCCCCTGTAGGTGGAGGAGATCCCCTCGCCACTCACCCCGCAGGCGTGAAGCCGTAGCCTGCTTGTCCAGTTTTCCTGTGCCTATGTCTGGGCCAATCCACCATACGGTGTGCTGCTTTCTGCAAAAATGTCTGGAGGGCGGGAGGCGCTGGGTTTTACTTCTCGGGATGCACACATGCTTCTTTCGTGGGCGCAAGGGAGGGGCCTCAGGGATCTTTCAGGAGGAGCTACATCCCCCCCAAAAGTCATGTTTTGTTCTTATTCTTGCTCATACCTGGGCCTTCCTGCATGCTCAAATTTTACGCCTTTTCGCTACGAATTGCCTTTTGGGGCCATTGCGGGTGTTTTGTTTTGCCTACGGCCTTTTTGTTGCTCAATTTGGGTGTTAAGCGCAATCTCCCCGAATCTGCAGGCGAAAATTCCCGCCCAGCAGGCGAACATTCCCGACCGCGGCGCGAACAAATATTATCGCTGGCGTTTTTTTCGCCCAAAAAACATTTGTTCACGCCAACGACAAAAATATTGTGTTTTTTGACCAACGCTTTAAATTGTTGACCCCCGGAAGTTCGAGGTATGTAACCACAAATGTAGAACCTTGGCATAATGTTGAGGAAAACGGAACCCTATGCTCACCTCAGTCGGTTGCTCTATGCTCTTGGGGTTTGGACCATGTCCTCGTGGAACCTTACCTGGGCCGCCCCGGCCTACCTGGGCTGAGACCCCAAAGCTTTCAGGTGTTTGGGGAAAAGAGTTGAGACTGCTTTCTGGCCAACCGACGGACGGCAGCGGCAGGTGGGAGAGAGCCTGGAGGCGCTGGCTTGAGCCTGTGGTTTTGTGGCCTACCCTTGTTGTTACAAACTCTTACTGACGGTTCGTGTTCGTATTTCCTTTGGCGCCGATGTTGCGCTCATGTTTGTTGGAAAGTACCCTTCCACCAAGCACGGGAAGTGTGAAAGAGGCCGTTTGCCCCTGTAGGTGGAGGAGATCCCCTCGCCACTCACCACGCAGGCGCGAAGCCGTAGCCTGCTGGTCCAGTTTTCCTGTGCCTATGTTTGGGCGAATGCGTGCTGCTTTCTGCAAAGATATCCGGGGGGCGGGAGGCGCTGGGTTCAAAGTAGGCTACTTCTCGGGATGCACACATGTTGCTTTCGTGGCAAGGGGCACGGAGGAGACTCGGGGATCTTTCGGGATCGAGGAGCTACATCCCCCCCAAAAGTCATGTTTTTTCTGATTCTGGCTCATACCTGGGCCTTCCTGCATGCTCAAATATTACGCCTTTTCGCTACGAGTTGCCTTTTGGGGCCATTGCGCGTGTTTTTTTTGCCTACGGCCTTTTTGTTGCTCAAAAGCGCAATCTCCCCGAATATGTAGGCAAAAATTCCCGACCAGCAGGCGAACATTCCCGACCGCGGCGCGAACAAATATTATCGCTGGCGTTTTTTTCGCCAAAAAAACATTTGTTCACGCCAACGACAAAAATATTGTGTTTTTTGACCAACGCTTTAAATTGTTGACCCCCGGAAGTTCGAGGTATGTAACCACAAATGTAGAACCTTGGCATAATGTTGAGGAAAACGGAACCCTATGCTCACCTCAGTCGGTTGCTCTATGCTCTTGGGGTTTGGACCATGTCCTCGTGGAACCTTACCTGGGCCGCCCCGGCCTACCTGGGCTGAGACCCCAAAGCTTTCAGGTGTTTGGGGAAAAGAGTTGAGACTGCTTTCTGGCCAACCCACGGACGGCAGCAGCAGGTGGGAGAGAGCCTGGAGGCGCTGGCTTGAGCCTGTGGTTTTGTGGCCTACCCTTGTTGTTACAAACTCTCACTGACGGTTCGTGTTCGTATTTCCTTTGGCGCCGATGTTGCGCTTATGTTTGTCGGAAAGTACCCTTCCACCAAGCATTGGAAGTGTGAATGAGGCCTTTCGCCCCTGTAGGTGGAGGAGATCCCCTCGCCACTCACCCCGCAGGCGCGAAGCCGTAGCCTCCTCCAGTTTTCCTGCGCCTATGTCTGGGCTAATCCTTCTGCAAAAATATCGGGGGGGGGGAGGCACTGGGTGCAAAGCAGGCCACTTCTGGGGAGGCACGAGCCGCCTGAAGGTGGGGATCTTTGGGAAGGAGATAAATCCAACATATCCCCAAAAGATATCCCCCAAAAGGTTTTCTGATTCTGGTACATTTGTAGCCACAAATGTCGAATCCTGGCATTATGTTCAGGAAAGACGGAGCCCTATCCTCCACCTCAGTCGGTTGCTTTGTGCTTTTGGGGTTTGGGCCATGCCTTTTGGCCAATCCACGGACGGCAGGAGCGGCAGGTGGGAGAGAGCCTGGAGGCGCTGGCTTGAGCCTGTGGTTTTGTGGCCTACCCTTGTTGTTTGGAGAAGGAATGTGTCGACTTGGCCAGGCTATCACCCGAAATGAACGGGTCCCCAGTTTGCCAGAAGCTCAAGAGTTTGGGGGGGGGGAAGAGTTAGACTAGGCCTTGCGCTCCCCCCACACTTTGTGGCACAGTTCAAATACGCCCACCAAAACCACCTTATTTTCAATCAATTATCACCCCGACAAGTGGTTAATCAATGGAAAAAAGGAAATCCAAAGGGCTAACTCAAATCATGTCAACAATCCCAGTAAATATGGATGGCAAAATGTGGATGGGCAAGGCCTAGGTAGGAAAGCACCACCGCGGCTTATACGGGAACACTATACTACAATTACAACATAAAAGAGTCAATTATCACGATGACATTTATGGCCCAGAGGTTTCCCAAGTTACAAGATCAATGGCATGCCCGCATGTCATTGCTGTGGCTCAAGACAAAAAGGCGCGCATTGCGCGCGTTTGCCTAAGTTAAGGGAGAGGTCGCAGTCACGGCGGGGTTCGTTCCTTTTAAGGTCCCGGGTTCCCCTGTTGTTGAGAAAACTGTGGTTCCCTCTCCTTTGAGTGGTTGTCAGCCGTAACGCTTTTCGGGTAAACAAACCCTTCTGTGACTGCGGCCGTTTCGGTCGCACATGGAAGCCGGCTCACCGCGGCTTTCGCGGTGGCAAAGGGCCGCGTGCTCGTTTATACAACACCCTGCAACAGATCGTCGTTGACGAGTACAAGAAGCAGGATCGGCGCTTCCGGTGGATCAAGTTTACAGAGGCTTCAAAGCAACAGATTGAGGCCCTCTTTAACTGTCGTGAGACACTGGATAGTTGGCACCTTTGGTCCTTTGACCCTGAGGCCGCGGACAACGCTTATCAGCAGCGTCTGGCATCGGTTGAAACCGCGGGTGCGGTAGCGCCACAGGAAGATGAGGCACAGGATAGAGCCGCAGCCTCTGGCGCGGCGGGAGCAACAAGCAGAGCTGAGGATTGGTTGCGGCCTCCTTCGCCTCCGCCTGCTCCATCCTGGCATCAAGATCCTCCTCGCGATCCACTTCCTCGTCATCGACCCTCTGCAGCAGAAAGACAATTGTTGCGAGGTGCTGCTCAAAGCGCGCTTCGTGGGGTATACACTAAAGCTGCGGAAACGCGGCGGGACAGCAGCCGGGAACGCTCACCGCTTCAGAGATCAAGACCTCCTTCTCTCCGGCATCCGTCCCGTTGGAGCAAAGGGCACACAGCGTTGAACCCACGCTTGCGCGGGAGAGCAGGCCGTCAAGTAGTTTTGGCTCCACAGAACAGCATTTACCCTGTGACACGATTTGACGAGCACGGCCAAAGAGGACATCTGGCAACCTTCGTGGGCTGGACCCGTATTCTCTTGCGGACGAGACGTGGAGAGATCCGCCCAGACGATCATCCACAAGCTCACGATCACGATCACCCGATCGACGCCCAGGACCAGCGGAGCACTATCGCCTCGACAGCTACAGCTCCGACGAGGAGCCTCCGCAGGACGCGGAATCCCTCCGATCGGGCAGGGCGGCTTACGTGCCTCGGCCCGTATACGAGGCACCGGCGCATATTGAGCCTATTGCTTTGCATAGCAGGAGGATTGGAGCAACAGAGCAGTCATCGACAAGGGCCGCGCCAAAGATCATCTTTGGCAGCAAGCCTCCTTTGCCCAAGGAACTTCCTCGTGCAGCTTCTTCGGCTCCGGCAAAGGCTTCTATTCCTGAAAAAGCTCCTCCTCGAGCAAGGTCTCCTATCAGGACTCAAAGCGCCTTTGGATACAAAGCGCCTCCGCGCGGTCTGAACAAGGCCGAACCCAGAAGCAAGTCCGGTTCAAACCCACCTTAAGGGTACAGCATCAAGCCACCGCCGCCACAGGTTGCTAAAGCAGCTGCTTCAAGCGCTGCGACAGCCGAGGCCAACCCAAGAGCCTCGATCTCCACCGAGGAGGCCGCCCCCGGCCCCCCGGCGCCTGTGCGTCCCATGCCTCCCAAGCGGCTGACAATAGCCCTGGATTGGCACGGGGTGTTGGACGTCCATCAACAAGGTCCTTATCCTTATCTCCACCCGGAGATCACCCAGCACCTTGTGAATTTCACTGAAGAATACGCTCCGATCAACTTGGTCGTGTTGTCATTTGTCGGTCGAGCAGCCAGTGAACAGCGACGTCGGGAGCTTGAGTTTGCATTGGAACAGGCAAGGTCATCGGCGGGGCTCCAGTTCTCTCAGATCAAGATCGTGCACGAGAAACTGGGCCGAGGTGGAAAAGCGGACGCACTCCAAGGTTTGGGAGTCCACGTTCTCGTGGACGACCAATCTGCCATCGTTCGCGAAGCACGGCTGTGCTGCCTTTCGCAATTTCCCCAACTTCGGACCAAGCGGGTTCGGCAACGCACCGGAAAATATTGGAGAATTCATCGAGTCCCGGGATCGCAGTTTCATCCCGGCGGCAGGGTCCTTACACCCTTCGAACTACCTCGAGGAGCTCCAACGTTCTGCATCCTAACTGCCCCGCGGTCGGGTCCTTCGATAGCCTTTCTTGCAAGCCGTTAAAACCGTCGCTTTGCGCGGTACAGCATTATTTGCAGTTACAGGCACTCGATTTGCAGACTTTTCAACAGCAGCTTGCCGACATCCCTTGATAAAGCACCGGAGTGCGGGTTTGCGGATACAATTGATCTACAAGTATAGAATTCAACAGGTGCAAAGCAGCAGGGCGATTTTTCTTGAGTTGTATACTTGAGCTCTTCGCAACCAGCTACCAATCCAGGGCAAGCCCCACGTTGCACCTTTTGACACGCTGCTAAAAGCGCGTGGAGCTGGCATCGTGTGTGAGCAAAAGTGTGTAGCTGTGTGAGTCAACATGAGTTCGACAGGTTCATATTCACCTTCAGAGCCCCGTTCAAGGTCAACCCCAAACAGAGATTCCGAGGGTGATGATCCTGACCTTGCCATGATTCCTGCAGCAATGTCCACAATGCCCTCTTCCACACCTCAACGTGCCGCCCAAACACGACCATCGTCATCACCTCCAAGTGGTCCGATCGTGTCAGAGCCCACTTCATCCGAAGGTTCCCCAGTAATACAGTTTGCACAAGGTTCCCAAGTGCCAGACCCGATGAATAACGTACCGGCTGCGGCCTTTATTGCTGGAGCTGCGGTGCAGCAAGCTCATCGAGCATCCGACCTCGCTGCTCAGGCAGCCAATCACGCCTTGCACCAACAGCAAGCCGCCAACCAGGCGAGACAAGAGGCCGGATGGGTTAAGGGAAGTATTAGATGTTAGGGTTCAAGCGGCTCAGCTAGCTTCGCAAGCCCAACAGGCAGTACAAATAGCACAACAAAGCAAGGCTCAAGCTAGACAACTAATCGAGCAGACTCGACAGGAAGCCATTGGCCATGTTGAGAACGCACGGCAGGTTGTTAATGCTACCCAGCAGGACGCTCAGCGTGAGGTTCAACGCATCGTTCAGGAAGCTCAACAGGCAATCTCGCAAAGGGAGCAAACAACTGCCAGTCAAGAGCATACCATTCGTGGATTGTCCCAGGAAAATTCTGTGATGCATCAACGACCTGGTGATCTCGAACGTGTTGTTGCAGCCCTCACCCAACAAGCTCGAGCGACCCCTGTTCCGGTTAAAGAGTCCCCGCCAAAAGCCGCAACAACAGCCGAAACAGCTACGGAATCAAGTGCAGCTAAAGCCTCAAGTTAGGGCACAATTCCTCCAGGAATCAGCCGGTTGGAGCACCTCAGGTTTCAGATTCACAAGATGCCTCCGGTGTTGGCGCCTCGTCGCAAGGGAATGCTTTGCCAAGTATCATCCCCGACCCTCCGTGTGGTCCGGACTTGGTCACGATGCCCCAGCTGATTCAAGGGACCCTGTAGAGGTTGCTACAAGTCAACATCCTGTAGGCCATCCGGCATTGCTAGGAGCAGCGTCCTCTGTTGTTAGGTAGAGACGGTACAAGGGATCAAGCAGATGTGAGAATGCAAGTGACAGCTCTAGCGGAAATGGTTCAGCAGCTCTCCCAATTGGTTGCTACTCAAGTGGCTCCGCCACCTCCGCCTTCGGCTGCACCACCCCAGTGCCTCCCATGCCCCTCGCAGGGGCGCCGCCTCCGCCAAAAGCTGGCGAGGGCATTCGTGTTCCGCCAATACCAATCACAATGTTGGGAGGGTTGTACTCGTCATCCCCACAAGCGCCATCGGCCGCAAGCTCCGACTCATCATCAGACTCCGATGGAGCTGACGACACTCCACAATGTTGAGTTTGCGGCGGCAGTCATGAAGACACCATGAATGGTGGTGGGGGAGGCGGGGGAGGCCCTGGCCAGTTTCCCAATGCAGACCCGTCCCAAGCTGCCGATCACAATGTAGGCATGTCCATCAGCCACACATGAGGAGTCCGTTGTTCGCGTCAAGGATCTTGTACTACCATCCCCTCCGGAAAATGCGGGTCAGGCAAGAGGTTTCGTCAACCAAGTTTTGATGGCCATCGGTCGACTCCAAAAGACCCCCGGAGACGAAGTATGTATGTCCTCCTCTGAGCAGGAACTCGTCGCGGACAAGCGCTTGCCACATCTTGATGAGAATTGCCTGTATTGTCCTGAATCTCAAAACATTTCCAGCCGCTGATTTTTCTTTGTCACCAAGGAGCACAAGAACCTCACGCTTTGACTACTGCAGGTCACGAAGGCAAAAAGTCACCATTGCAAAATTGATGCTTCTTACCAACAGTTCAAGAACTATTTCCAACTGGATGGAGTCAAGAGCATCAAGTGGGTTGTAGTCGCTCCTGCGGGTGACATTCGCGCCGGAGAAGAATGTTGTCGGCGCATAGGGTGTTTCGGAGAAATGCAAGGTCAACGTTGAGCAGTATGTGAGTTTGTGGAGGTATGATCTTGATTCGTTCAAGCCACCGAAATGCTGTGCAAAATGGTGGAGTGGGGGGGAGGCGGTGTTGGAAAAACGGATTTGCAATATGTTTGCAATTCCAACGGCAGATTTTGCTGTTCCAACGGCGGTTTTGCAGTTCCAACGGCGGTTTTTTGCTGTGTCATAGCAGTTTCCGGTCTGTCTACTGAAGCCTTGTTCATCCACATTCTGCCGTCCATATTTACTGGGATTGTTGACATGATTTGAGTTAGGGTTTTAGGATTTCGTTTCTTCATTGGTTAAGTGATAATTGGGTGAAAATGGGGTTGTTTTGGTGGGCGTATTTCAATTGTGCTAACAAGTGTGGGGGACCCTATGTTTGGATGGCAAAATGCGGATAGGCAAGGCCTAGTCTATCAAACCCCCCAATGGTACTTGCGCCTGGCTGTTGCCAGGCAAAACGCGTAATTTCAGGTTTTAAGGGTGGCTCAGTACAAACGTTGAGGCATTGCAGAAATTCTCGCAACTGTCAAGAACTTTTGCTGCGTTTGGATGTCTTACCCCCAAGGTACGGAATCACCCTCTAGGGCCACTTCGATGTGGTGCCGCGGAAACTCCTGAAAACAAGGCAAGGTCACCCATTGGAAGACACCCTGCTTCTTTCCGGCTTTTTGATTCGTGTTCGTATTTCCTTGGCGCCGATGTGGCTAATGTTTGTCGGAAAGTGCCCTTCCACTAAGCACGGGAAATGTGAAAGAGGCCTTTCGCCCCTGTAGGTGGAGGAGATCCCCTTGCCACTCACCCCGCAGGCGCGAAGCCGTAACCTGCTGGTCCAGGTTTGAAGGCCAATGCTTATGTCTGGGCTAATCCACCATACGGTGTGCTGCTTTCTGCAATAATGTCCAAGGGTTCAAAATAAGCTACTTTTCGGTGTTTCTTTGCAAGGGGCACGGAGGGGGCAAGCACAAGCCTCCTGGAGGTAGCGATCGGGGAGGCTTTTGAAAGGAAAAGGGTTGCCGCTAGCTTCTCGAATTCGTGAGACAGATCGATAGCGTCTTACTTTTTTTGCGCACGGGGTCGCCCGCGCTGCTAGCTTACACGTTTTTCTGTTCGGCGGCTGTAGTGTTTTGCTTAAAACCAACCCTACGCACCCAAAGCCCACCCTACCATTGCACTCTCCGCACCCTGAACCGAGCCCCCTCGGCTCGCGCGAAAGTACTGCCAAGCAGCCCACGAAGCCAATCCTCCACCTCAACATGCTTGGGCCAACCCTCAACAAACTCTAAACCAGCTATCTCATACAACACCTTGCGGCAGAGTCGCAAAAAAGATGCCAGGAGAAGGTCGTACGTTGTGGTGTTTGGTAGCCACCCTTTGGTTGAACCCTGGCCCCAAAATCCGTAAAACCCGCAGGGGCTTGCGTCGCTCGTAGGCCTTTGCCGAAACGGAGCCAGAGGCGCCAGCGGCGATGGCGGCCTTCGAAGAGAGGGCAGAGGCGACGAGGGGTTGATTTAACTCTATAAGGGTGGATTCCGGGAGACGCGGGTCAGGGAGCAGGCCAATGATGGCCATGTTCACCAGTAGCAACAATCATTGCCCCTTGTTCTCGGGGTTGATTCCTTTTCCATTCTTTTCAACCATGGTTCTTTGAAAAGAAGGATCCCTGGAAAGATGGGGAAGGTACCCTTAGATCACGGCTTCTGGTGAACAGGTGTCCCTAGATCAATGAGACCGCTGCGTTCACGCCTTCCAAGCTCTGAACAGAACGGCGTTCGCAGTGCGACTGCCACGTAATTTGGGGTGCCGATTGCTGGAGCTTTGACGGCGAGATCAACTGATTTGCCAGGGGACTCAAAGCGTCCGTTTTTCCATTTGGAGATAGTCACCTTTCCGGGCCACGTCCCAAAAGGTGGGATGCTGCTTACCTCCTTGCAAGTCCCCCGGCCGATCGCGGCAGGAGCGGCAAACGGAGGAGAGCCTGCTGGAGGCGTTCTCTTGGGGGGCATGCCCGTGATTGTGTCCTCTAACCTTGCAACCTTCGGCACATTTTTTTGCCTCCTGTGAAGAAACGCGCCGCTTTTCTTGGCTACGGCCCAAGTGCGGTGGGCATCCTTAGGAACCGTGGACCGCGTGGCTACGCGCATGGAAAACAGGCCGCTCTAGCGGCGCGTGGTGATCATTTGAGGGGACCTCGTTCGCCCTCGAGTTCTTGTTGTGGTAGCGGAGCCGGCAGAGACCGGCACAGGGACTTTGGCTTCGCCTTTGAGGACCTCGGTTGCACGATCATGCCTAAGACTGAGGGAGGAAAGGGCAGCGAGCAGCAGCCCTCTATGTTCCGGTTTTCACCAACATCCAGAAGGACTACTGAGAGTACCGCAAGAGGGCAGAGCTCTACAGAAAGATGATGACCGGCAGATGACTCATTTCCAGAAGGAGGATGCGTTTGAGAAGGTCTTTGCCGTTTGGACACGGCCTTTCAAGCCAAACCTGATGATGGAGCTGCCGGATGACTTCGAGGCTGTCTTCGTGAAGCTGCAACGAAGATCTGGCCAGACACGTCAGAAAACTCCGGACATCGCATCAGGTGGAGCTGTCAAGGCCTGGTGGTTCCTGCGGAGGAGTGGCATCAGCAAGGAGCAGCGCCAGATGGTCATGACCCAGCTCAACTAAACTGGCGTCGAGCGCGGCATGAATTTCATCATGGGACAGGACTCCAAGCCGGACGCCTCCCGCGTGGCCTTGCCAACAAGCAGATGCAGACCTACGACATGTTCTGGCACCATGTGGCAAGAGCCCTACGAGCCGGACACCGACTACACTGGAGCGCACTGGCAGGAAGATGAGGACGATGGCTCCCACTAAGACGAACTTGCCAGTGAGACCGGTGGCCAGTCGGACGGCATCTACATGACGCAGGAGGACGGCTTCGATGAGGTCTTTGATGTAGAGGAGTATCACGATGTCTGCGCGACCTACGTTGAGGCCAAGAATCGCATGAACGTGATGAGGACTTCTCGAGGTTTCCACCCGGTGGTTGCTATGGTCCCGGGTGGAAACCTGGAGGCAGCCCTTCTGGGAAGTCCGGGAAGGGGGCGGAAAATCTCCAAAGGGCAAGGGCGGAAAGAACAAGATGCCGCCGCAGAAAGGCAGTGCGAAAGAAGGGCAGGGCATCTTGGGCCGGAATCTCTGCTTGCAGTGATGGTGGAGGAACACTATGACCTGGCCGCGGAGGATGAGAAATGCTGTGCAGGATGGCGGAGCCGCTTCGGTCCTGGGGAGCCGCCACACATCCGGAAGCACATGCGTTACCTCTTGGAGAACGGCTATGACGTTCGCGAGATCGACATCTTCAGATGCCAGAAGGGCTTCAGATACGGCAACTCTGAGAAGGAGGTCACCAACCTTTGCGTGCTGTTGCCGCTCCGCGTTGGTGGCAGGAAGATCCAGGTGCTTACCTACGTGAACAAGGGCACGGCACCGATCCTCGGCAGGCCCATCATGGAAAAACTGGGTTTGCAGCTGGACTACAGCGAGGAAGATGAAGTGGCCCAATGGCAAGTGGCATGACGTCTCGCTCAGTCCGAAAGGAGAGTACCTCGTCAACCTGGTGGAGAGCAACTCCATGGGCCGGTTGATTCACAAAAAAGATCGCCTTCGAAACCCTGACTGCGGAGGACTTCATGGACCACGTGGATTTCTCAGAGAAGTTGCCACCCACCGTCATCTTGGGTGAGATGGAGGAGTGCTTCGAGGAAGGCTGCCTGATGGCCGAAGAGTTCGGCAAGACTGTGAAAGAACTGCAGGCAGAGGTCTTCGACGAGGGAGTCGAGACACCGCCAGACACGCCGGAGGACGTGAGCAAGGGCGGCTCAGAAGAGGGTCGCGGCCCGGCGTGCGAGGGGGAAAAGAAGGATGACCTGCAGATGGACAGCCCCTCGGGCTCTTCGACAGCGAGTTCAGGAGGTGGTGGGAACTCCAGAGATGTGAAAAGGCTCCATCACCTGCGTTATAGTCAGATAAAGCTGTACCCGTGTGAGCTTTGTGGTGCGCTGTGAAGAAACGCGCCGCTTTTCTTGGCTATAACCCAAGTGCGGTGGGCATCCTTAGGAACCTTAGACCGCGTGGCTACGCGCATGGAAAACAGGCCGCTCTAGTGGGACGTGGTGATCCCTTGGCGGACCTCGTTCGCCCTCGAGTTCTTGTTGCTTCCCAAACAACCTGTGATCAGGTTTTACTCCTCTTGATCGGTGATCCCGCATGACTTGTCCAAAGCTGGTTTTAAACCTTGCAGTGTCTCCAGTCGGTAAAGTCCTTATTTTGCCTATATAGTAGTCGTCACCTTTGGCTTCTTGGCGTTTTGTGTCAAGGCTGGTAGTGGAAGTGTTCAGACGAACACTAGCAAGAAACCCCGAACAGGGGGGGCCCTGTTCTGGGCGAGAAGCCACAGCGTCAACGGCCGCTTTGTGGTCTTTAGATGCTGCTTTCTTAGCTTTTGACCAAAGAGGTGGCAAGTTGAATCCCTCAAAGTGCGCACCTAAGCAGGGACAGAATCCCCACCGTACTAGTAGCCTGAAGAAAAGTCCCCTCCAGAGCGGGGGGCTTCGGCTTGGGGCTGTGAAAGCTTTCAACTGATTCCAAAACATACGGGCTTCCAAAATGCAGCTGTATCAGCATTGATCGTGTCCATTGTCGAGGGGCTATGTCAAGGCCCTGTGGGTGCGTGTTAATGTTGACCCCGTGTTAAGCACCCCCAGTTTATTGATAGGGGGTGTTTTTCTCCAAGAGTGATGATTCAAGAAAAGTAGGGACGCCCCCTATAACTTAATTGATGTTGATTAATAGGGGGGTCAACATTACAACTGCCGAAGCTCAGCCCTGAGGCTCCAATGTTTCGCTTCCACTTCAGGTGGAGGAGCTTCCCTCGCCACTTCTCCCTGCGAAGGCAATGGAGCGTCGTCGCGAGGGCGTGCTTTTTTGTTTTGAGCGTGGCCTGTTTGAGGTACTTCGGACGGGTACACCGAGGTTATTACGGTAAATATGTTTTACTTGGGGATCCCTTATTGCAGGTTTTGTCAGGAAGGCTTTTTGAGGCCCTGTGATCTCGAGATAACTCCAAACTTGTTTTGGTTCCTTATATTCAGGACCAATCTGACACTCGACAAAGAGACCTTGCAGGACTCTTGAAGTGCCCCTTCGTTGGTAGGGAGGAGGCTTAGGCCTTCCAATCAATTTGTCGGTGAGCATCCAGGTTGGAGAGCAGGTTTCAAGCTCTTCCCTTTGGGCATGTGGAGGCCGCACAAAGCAAGATCTATAAGTCATAGGCTATGGGAATAGGCCAAGGTTCCCCGGCCGGATCAGTTTCCTGAGCAGGACAACCTTTTTCTAGGGGTTGATTCCCCATTCTTTTCAACCATGGTTCTTTTCAAAAAACCAGCGGCTTCCCTTTCCTGAAGAGAAGGATCCATGGAAAAAATGGGGAAGGTATCCCTAGACTTTTAAGTCTTCTTATCCATATTGAAGGTGCCATTGCACATGCTGCTTGCCCAAATCCGGCTGCTTGCCCAAGCATTTCAGCCTGATCAGGGGCACTGGTTCCCTTGTGTGATCTGGCTTTTGCCGCGCATCACACGGGTAGAACACATGTGTGTATTTGCGCAAATTCAAAAGCGCGTACCTCACGCGCACACGCACACGCACACACACGCACACACACGCACACACACACACACACACACACACACACACACACACACACACACACACACACACACACACACACACACACACACACACACACACACACACACACACACGCGCGCCAACAAAGAACTCCCCAGTCTTTACTCCGAAAAGTTGAAACCCAAAAGCCTATGTGCCAGGTCAAAAGTTTCAATCGAGCGCACTTCCAAGGCTTGCCTTAAGAGCCCCCCCCATTCGCAGCTTATTTCCAGGAAGGTGCTAGTTGGCAGACAGCCGTACTCAGAGCTGGGGATATTCCAACTGCGCCTTTGAAGAGGGAGCCGTTCAGGAGCTAGCGGTCGCAGGGACATAGACCATGGGCCCCATTCAAAGCCATTGCCCGAGCAAGTCGAAGCCGCGAACACCAGCTCCGCCGCCTTTTGGCGTTTCGGGGCAGGCGGCCTTCGCCGAAACGGAGCAGACGGAGACGAAGGCCTTTGCCGAAACGGAGAAGGCGGAGGCGAGGTTGGAGTTGACCTTGTGAGCAAGTCGTTTTTTGGGCGGGAGGTGTATGATTTCAACATTGCTCAAGAGAGAGAGAGAGAGAGAGAACAATCTCAAAAGTTGTGAATGTTCTGTCTATAGGAGGTGTCAGGCGCATATTCTGCGCCAAGCAAAGTGCTGCGAACACATTGGGCATCATGTTTGCAAAGGCAGACATGTTGAACATGCAGGACCAACTGCCCCCTCCAACCCACAAGTGAACGGTTCTCCCCCGCAATATGTTTTTGCCAGGAGTCAGGACTCACTGCAGTTCCCTTTGTGGGCGTTACCTCTTTTTGGCCACTTCAAAGTGAAATCGACTTTGGGGGGATCGGATTTCTAGGTTTGAAATGGGACTTGACCCACAGCTGGGGATCGTGCTGAGAGCTCTTACTGCCCGCCCGTGTCAGGAAAGCGAGGGTCAGTTGTGGCCCTTTGCTTTCTAAGGGATTTGCAAGGTGCAACGAATAGAAGCGGAGCCACCAAGTCTTTACGTCCAGTTGGTTGGATCTTTTGTACTTTGACTTTTTAGAAGCTATGGATTTTCCGTTGTGGGTCCGGTCAACAGCAGCCAGCAGGTCCTATTCTTGATCGATACCCCTCGGCCGGTAGGGCTTCGGTCAAGCTTTGTTGTGTTGAAGTTTCCTCAAGAATTGAGCGATGAAAAAGCTCTCCTAACTCTCCTTGTCTTCTCAGTTCTGGTTGAGCCGCTGCAAAACCACGGAGTTTGCGGAGGATGGGAGAGCTGTTGTTCATAGCACACCGAGACAGTAGACATCCGGGCCACACCATCCGGCCAGGAAGGAAGCCTGGAGGCCTGCTGTTGGGCCTTTTGGGTTGAAAAGGCGCTTCAGAACAGGTTGACCCTTAGGAAGGGAAAACTCGTGAAAGCCCCTATTTGCAGAGGCCTCCACACCGGGCCACGCCTAACCTGGGTTGGAAGGACTACCCCTCCCAAGATAGCAGCTAGCTGACAGGCGCCCGGTTCCTTCCACAGAAACCCAATCCAGGTGCTCTTCTGCAGGTGCTATGGCAACGTGGTAAGGGCTTCCCTTCAGGGGTGTTGAATCATCGAAGCGAAGCTGTCTTACAAACTGAATAGGTGTACCGCCCCCCCCCCCTTCCGACCAAACCAAAAAGCGAGAGTGTCAAAACCCGGGCGCCAGCGGGTTTCGCAGAAAATTGCTGGCATTCGGATTTGCATTGGCGCGACTCGCGGTCTCGGCGAGTCCGATTTCTTCAGAGGGCTGCAACCTTCTGGGGCATGTTGCATCCACTCAAACTTATAGATGTGGGTGGATCAATCGGGAACCGCGCTGAGAGGACTTTCCAAAACCAAGGGTGAATGGCGCCCAGACCCCCTTTGGCTTACATGGAATGGACCTGTGAGAGCGCCTTCGATTCTCAGAATGCCTTGCGCCAGGTGGAGGAGATTCCCTTGCCACTCCCGCAGGCTTTCCGAACCGGTTCCCCTTTTTTTGTTGTGCTTTTTTGGGGTCCCCTTTGTTTTCCACTAACCAAGCATTTTTCTTTGCTGGGGTCCTACTTCCAGCCAAGGAACTGGGTAGGGGAGAACTTGAGTTCCCCGAGTTTCAGCTTACGGACACCCAGCCATTAGCTGCGGGCCCATCAGCTTGCGGACTCGGCCGGCCCGGCTTCTTCAAGATGCTTCTTGCATCTGATTCTCGTTTTTTGGCATCCCTGAAATAATTGTTGTACATAGCTTCACTATGGATCAGAATGAAACATGCTTTGGGCAAAAGCAGAGGTGGAAAGTATGTCTTCAAACGGGGCGTGATAGGGCTCCAAGCCAGCAGGGTCAAAAGGGTGGCGGGACTAGTCGCGAGCTCCTCGATTTCGACCGCGCTAAAGGCAATGGTTGGTCGATAGGGATCCATTGCTTTGTGGCTCCCGGTATCATCCGGTTCGTTGGGTTGTTAGCTCTTAGTTGGTTTTGTGGAATTTCCATTTATCGCCCACAAGTTCGTCACTTTGCGAGGATCTCAAAATGGACAGCCCAGATTGTGAGCCCAGCTAAGCACGAGCCATGCACGAGGCATGTGGGATGTTTGGTGCTCGGGAGGGAGCCATGGCCACGGTCGGTGGCTCAGGCGGCCGTCAAAGCGGAGCCGGAGGCAGGGCCGTGCTCGTTTTTTTTCATGTTTCACTGCCAAGCCCACCCAAAGGTTGCTCGGTTGAAACAAATCAATAAATAGATTAAAAGACAAATTCGATATTTGATTGGATTTCAGAAAAACATCGATAGGGGTCAGAATACTATTAGAGCAGATATAGAGATTCTATTGATTTCCCTATTGAATTTTCGATTGAAATCCTCGATTGGAATGAAAAATAAATCCTCGATTGAACTTTTAAACAAACCATATTTTTGAAAGCAGACCAAAATCTGCGATTCAATTTATTGTAAACGCTGCGTGTTGCCCGCCCCGGCCCAGCCGAGCGTGCAGCGTTTGTGGTTCGACTGCAAGCAGCCGAGCTGGTCAAGTGGCGATTCAGGAATGGACAGGTTCTGGCGTTGGACCGATTGATGTCATGACCCGGACATACCCCTTCGATAAGGGGTGGGGGGGTTTGTTGTTCGGGGGGGTGGGGCTCGAATAACAAGTGGGGGGGAGGGGGGGAGTTGTTGTTCGGGGGGGGGGCTGGAACTACAAGTGGGGGGGGGGAGAGACTTGTTGTTCGGGGGGGGGGGGCTCGCATAACAAGTGGGGGGGGGGGGTTGTTCTGGGGGGGGGGGTCGAACAACAAGTGGAGGGGGCCAACTTGTTGTTCGCGGGGGGGGGGCTCGAATAACAAGTGGGAGAGGGGGGGGTTGTTGTTCCGGGGGCGGGGGTGTCGAACAACAAGTGCGGGGGGGGGGGGGGGAGAGACTTCTTGTTCCGGTGTGCGGGAGGGGGGGGGGGGAGGACTTGTTGTTCCCGGGGGGGGGGGGGTCGAACAACAAGTGGGGGGGGGGGACTTGTTGTGTTCGCCGCGAAAAGGGGGGTGGGGGGGGGAGTTGAGCAACAAGGGGGGGGGGGGGGGGGGACTGGTTGTCTGGGGGCAGGGGTCGAACAACAAGTTGGGGGGGGGGGGGTTCTTGTTTGGGGGGCGGGGGGGGGCGAACAACAAGTGGGGGGGGGGGGCTTGTTGTTCGGGGGGGGGGTCGAACAACAAGTGGGGGGGGGGGGGGCTTGTTGTTTGGGGGGGGGTCGAACAACAAGTGGGGGGCCGGGAAGGACTTGTTGTTGTTCGCCGGGGGGGGGGGAGTTGAACTACAGGTGGGGGGGGGACTTGTTGTTGGGGGGGGAGGGGGTCGAACAACAAGTGAGAGGGGGGGGGGGGACTTGTTGTTGTTCGCCGGGGGGGGGGGGGGGGGGTCTTGTTGTTCCGCGTTTTCGTCGAACAACAAACCCCCCCACCCCCGCTTATCGAAGCGGTCTCGACCCGGACTAGACTGCCAAGGCAGGCTAAACTGGATAAGATAGATACAGGAGTTTGAAGGTTGGAGGTGAGGCGTTGCCACCCTACCGAATTCTATATAGATGTATCCAATCTCTTGTTTTGGGCAAGAGTGCCGGTTCATGTGTTCGTCTGGCATCTCCACCATGGTCAACCAGAATCTGCCAGAACTGGGAGTACTGGTCAGGGAAGATGACGTAGACCCAGGGCTCACGCATACCATGATCAATCGTCAGCAAAACTCTTTGGGGTTGACGCCCCTGTAGGTTTGGCAAAAACCGCGGCAGTCGATGCAGCGAGTATGAACTCATTTTGTTAGGTTTCACTCAGGCTTCACTGGGACCGGGAGGCAAGAAAAAAACGCCAGCGACGCATAAATGTCATTCACAGCATGGTGGGCGTCACACAATGTTTAACTGTTTAACCCTCTTTTGATCTTGCACTCAGTTCCAGTTCCCCTCAGTTGCCTGAACTTGAATTTGCACTCTGTTCCCCTCAGTTGCCTGAACTTAAGTTGGCCGAACTTCCGCTGAACTCGCTGAGTTCGCTGAACGAAGGCCACCAAATCCTCGATTGAAAAAACAAAATCCTCGATTGAAAAAAAAATCCTCGATTGAAAATGAAATCTCGCTTGATTTTAACATGGACCTTTGTTTGGAGAGAAACCGGTCTTCGATTGAATTTTCTATCGATTTTGAAGAAAATTGAGATTCGTTTGAACAATGAATCTTGATTGTTTTTTTCAATAGGGCAGCCTTTGGGCAAAAGAGATCGAGATGGGTTTGTCCCCCCAAGCAAGATTTGGGGGGGGGCTAAAACATGGTTGGTTTGCTTTTGGTTTCCCCTTAAAACCGTCCAGCAGGGGTTCCGTAGTCATGATCTATTCAGACCCCTATTTGGCACCCGCGCGGGAAGGGGAGGGATTCTTCCATCCAATAGTTCCAATAGCGACCTTGCAACGTCACCCCCAGCCGCATTGGGCCTGTGACACAAAAAGGCATGTGAGAGAAGCATGGGATGTTGGTGTTTTTCCCCCAAGACCCCTTAATTTAGTTAGCACCCAGGAAACTATCATAATTCATCTGGCTTTGCTCTAGATGGCTGGCGTTTTTTCAGATTCTTTTCTCACACAGTCTCGACATTTTTGGCGAAGCCACATCCTCAAGTATGAGTCGTCGCGCGGCATGCATTTGGGCTCTGTCCGTTGCAGTCGGTGCTTAATTACATGTTCACTTTCCACACTTTCAAGTAAAATATGATGAGGACTGGGCGCGGTTGGGGATGCGAGGCCGACGCAGAAGCGCAGTGAGGCTGGAGGGACATTCGCTTGTTTATGCGCAGGTTCCGCACCTCCAATGCCGAGGGAAAGCCTTGGCAAGCTTCCTCTTCAAAATCAACTACGAAAAACAAGGAGGTGGCCTTTGCTTTCCCACGTCACTGGGGGGTCGGGGATTGTTGCTCCTCGCGCCTTTGCCAGGTCCCTTCTTTGCCCAAGGTCGGTCACTGCTTCCGCCATCCCCGCTTCCCGTTTTTGCAATAGGATGTGTTTGTTTTTGGGGGGTTGACCTTTTGGTGATAGTTGTTCCCCCAATTTGTGTAGATTGCCGTCCTTTTCGTTTGGGATGTTTCTCGGTGCCTTTGCACAGACCCTTTTCTGTCATTTGTGTTTCCCCTTCAGAAGCTCCCTGTTTGTTAGTTTCGGGTTTCTCCGCTTCCTGGTTTCCCTTGTTTGTTGGTTCGTCTCTTGTTACGGTGTTTACCCTAGTTTCGTACATTTGCTGATTTTTGTTTGCTTCTGCCCCCAAACGAACATTTGGGTAAGTAACAGCTGTGCATCACGATTGTCATGATGACATGGTTTTCTCAGAGTGTTTCCATTGTACTTCCAGTCTTAGCGAATAAACCAGCAGAAGGACCTTGATGTGTTGCCCTTTCGCGCAGCATAGCAGAGGGCTTCCACACAAGTTGAGGCGTGTCGCATGTGGGTGTGGCTCAAAGTTAGACAGGAGGGGTTACGCAGGTTTTGGTCCATGTTTCCACTTACCAGGGCAACCCATTTTGGAATTCCGGTTTTTGAGCCACAGCCATGTGCTTTCAACCGCTAATTCTCCAAGGCGCTGGGCTGCTTGTTGCTTTGCACGGGCAAAAGAACGGGCTACGGGTCATGCGAGCCAGGAGCGCGACTTCCATTTCTTAGGGCCCGTTTGGGCCGTTTCACGGGCGGGTGGTGTCTCCAGCTCCGTGGTGAGTGAATACAACTTGATCAGACGCCAATGGGCAAGTTGGAAGAGTTCATACCTTGCCTCAGTTCCTGGACTTTGTACTTTTTGGGAAGACCATGTGTTCAGTACCCTGGTTGCAAGGAAAACGTTTGGATTCTTGTTTGGCCATCCAGTCAGGAAGTGAAGCACTCATCGCCGAAGTTGCAATAGGATTAATCTCCTTTGAGATTTGCGCGGAGCCCAAAACATGTTTTGAGAAATGTCCCTTTGGAACTTGGTTTCTGAATGGCGTGGGCTTCGAAAACTGCACGCCTCCTTCCAACCCACATGTTTTATTCATGGAATCTCGTCGACCCCAGATTCATCAACCTGATGGAGTTGTTTGGTGTTTTCCCCTCAACTCAAAAAAGTGGGTCATAGGCGGTCATAGGCAAACCCGATGGGCAGGTTTCCCTTTGGTTTACCTTTAGCGAGAATCTGAACCCTCAGAACGCGAGAGAGACAAATCGCTGGGAGAAACCATGCCGCGTCCCAGCCGCAAAGCGGCATCGACGAACCTTAGAAATCACCGACTCGTGATTTTTGCATTGGCCACTCGCTGGCTCCAAGCTTGACTCCAGAGGTTGAAGTTCTATCCTTTTCAAAGCTCAAGCTTTCTGTCTGAGACCTTGCCACAATGGTCCATTGTTCTTCGAATAAAGGCCATTCATATAAATCCATGGACCGAATGGGGAGGTGATTGTTGCTTTGCTGCGTTGGATGTTCTTGTGTAGTTGCGACCAGCTTAAACTCAGGCACTTGTACCAATTGGACGTGACTGGTAACTTCCCCCGTCCTTGAACATGCAAGTTCCCCCAATGTGAATACATGCAAGCGCAGCCCCTTGATCTAAATCCCCGCTGGAAAGGACGCCCAATGTTTCGGCGCGACACCCCTTGGTTTGTTTTGCCGGGGTTGCGCCCCACTGTGTCATTTGTTCCATCCACCGGGCACAACCATCTCCTTAATGATTTCAACAATAGGAAGAACTAGGAACTTTACAAGTTACGATCCGAAGAATCCCTACCCCAAGGCCTGAAGGCAACTTTGCAAGTTCCGCCCAGCTGAACCAATGATAACTCACTGGAAGACCCCCGCGTACGGCCAGTGGAATTCAATGATGCCCATTAGCATGGAGGCTTCTCCGCCTGCCGTTTCGTCATGCCGCGGCAGACCACCAAAAAACAGAAGCGATCCGCACAAATCCGCGGCTTCAGCCGCGGAAGCCGTGGGCGATTAAACCTCGACTCAGGGAAACTGAGCTCTCGGAAAAGTCTGGGGATAGCTTTCGCAGTCTTTCCAGGTAGAGAACCAGCAACAGGTCAGGGGAAACAGCTGGCTTTTGCAACAAACGTTGGTTGAAAAGAATCGGGAATCAAATGCTAGAAAAATGTGTGGAACGACTCTTTGGCTGGTTCCCCTCAGAACCTTTCGCCCATTGACAAGGGGTTTAGGATTGTTTAGGCCACTACTAAAATGGGTTGCATTCTGAAGATGCAAAACAGAATGGAAGCACCGCTGACGTCCATTTGTTCAGAGAGTCGCAACCAATCCTTCGGGCAGGAAATCGGTTTGGTTTCTTTGGGCGTCTCTTCAGGGACCAAATGGTTGCTTATTGAGGGAGCCTTGTGGCGTGACACGGCGCCCGAGATTAAGGGCAAGTCCGGCACAAAGCCCCTTTTCAATCCGGAGAAGAACGTGGAATTCAAAACAAGGGGTGCATTGTGCAAAAGGAGATTCTTCCACAAGTGAGGTTCTTTGGGGTTCCATGTGCGTCTCTTGCCTTTGATTCATCAAGCCCTCAATCCCGGAACCAATCCAACAGGCCTTGTCCTTGAAACAAGCCAATTTGAGGGTCCCTTCTAGTTAAACCCAGAGGGGGGCGCTCAGGAATTGAGGAAACCCAGGTGTTCCTTCATTTCTCTTTTCTTGGGAGCCTCCAAAGGGGCAATTTTAATGGAAACCGCTAACTTAGTGATCTTGAAAAGGCAGTGGGGTGATCCGATGCTGCAACCGGGTTTACCTTGTGACTTACGATCTGCGCTGAGGAGAAGCAGCAGGACTCGAGTAACTCGCAGGCCAGAGAGCGTGAGGCGGCATATTGGGGGGGGGGGCCAGGAGACCTGTGAAAACGGGTTCCAAGGAGCACAGGGTTTTGAGGGCCCTGAGGCGTGTTACTTGGCAGATCCTGCAACAAGTTTCGGTGAGGCCCGTCAAGTCTGAGGTCTTGTCCTGAAATGGGCTTGGGGGCATCCAGGGTCTTGAGACTCGGAGGCCCGAGACCTGGGAGCCGTGCTGTCCAAAGGCTCCGCCCCATGGATTTGTTTCCTGTCATGGTCCCGAGTAATGTAGGAAAAAGGGGGCCGCGCCCGTCCCCATGTTTCCTTTGTGGGTACAAGGGGAGGCCCTCTGCAGTTTTTCACTTGAGGGGTGAGACTAGTTCACGCATCATGACAGCCTACCTCTTCTGGAAGTCCCTCTTTGTTGTGCCCATCCGTCGCAAAGCCCACGTGCGACGTTGTCCAGAAGTATTTGAGATCACTCGTACAGGTTTGCTACTGAAAAGGCTCAAAGATATTGCCCTCATGCATCTTCGGGGCAAGCCATGTTTATCCCATGCAATGCTTTGCGTGGCATTCCATCGACCCTTAGACTTGAAGGGTGTCCAAAGCAGCTTCAATCTGTGTCCCAAGCATATGGAGGCGATTCGATGGGGTCCGAGTCCGAGGAGAAAACCTTTCCTCGCTTGATGGCGCTTCGACGCCTTCTAGTCTGTATTGAAAGGGAAAGTAGAAGTGAACCAGCCATTCTAACGGACATCACATTGTAGTGAAAGCTGCTGCTTTGCTTTGTCCGCGAGCTTGTCCTGCGGGACTGTAAACCAACCAACCAACCCACGTCGGAATTTACACATTCCTCCTGTGTCTCCCAACATTTGCGCCTCGGCGAAAGGCTCAAGCACCCTCCGCGCGCTTTCGCATCGCCCTGCTGCAAAAGCAGTCGTTGTGCGCATTTCTGAGCCATGGGGTTCAAAGGCGGGGGGGATGGCTGGCCCAGTGTTCTCAAGGTCTTGTACCCAGACTGGGGGCATCCTCTGGGTCTATATATTAAGGCTGCAGAAACTGGTTGGTGGTTTCCCTCTCACCTCGGAGGGGTGAACGATTTTGACACGATGCCAGCCAGCTTCAGAGATCGGTGTTGTCCGGAACTGGACACGCGGATTTGGGGGTCCATTGTTCGAACGGGCGATGCGAGAAGGGGGATGCCTTGTTTGGATGGGAATATATATATATATATATGTATATGTTTGTACAAGCCTTATGGCCTCACCATTCTCGGCATTTTGTTTGTTCTTCAGCTTGGCGTTGTTGGCTTTTAGTTGGGACTGAGAACATATAGCCTTTGCTGTGGGCAGACCAGAAATGGATTGGGCTGTCCTTTCTTGGAACCTTCAATCCAAGTGCTTGGCAAGGTTGGTTTCCAGACCGAAACCAAGCCCAGTGATTCCATTTCGCGTAGGTATCCACGGGAACCTTTTTTGAAGCTAAGAGCAAAATGGTCCCGTATTGTGATTTCCGGGACTCCGGGACCCACTGGCTGAAAAAAAATGGTGAACGGCGGATGCGTGATATTTCAGACTTTGGCCCAAAACCCCTCGCCCCAGGTGGAGAGAGAGCCTCAAGGTCCCCCAGAAACTGGGCACCAGAATGGCGAGTACTTGCGCCCGGTTTGTGGGAGCTGTTTGTTTCATTCGGCACGCCTTGCGACTCGCGAATCCAACATGGGTTCGAAATTGGTTTGAGGCTAGCTTGAAGGGGAATCCAAAGGACCATCAGCCATTGGTGGGGGTGATTTTGCGGCGGTGTCCAGACGTTGTTGTGGTTCAAAAGGACATGTTGGGAAACTCAAGTGACAGCCGAAAGAAAAACACACTATTCACCGTTCCCTTTGGAGCACGGATGTGAAGCAACATGACAGGGATGGGGGGCCACTTTCTGTGAATCAAAAGAAGGCAAGTAGAGCAATTCGTCATTTTGGAAACAACCCCTGGTTGAATCTGGACACCCTTTGAACCGTTAGAGCCAGTCCCCATACTCCGAAGCGGCCCCACGGAATGAGTCACCAAGAGAATTCCCGCTGTGGTTTTCCTTAGCTTGGTGGTTCCCAGCATCCTTAGGATTTGGGGGGCGGTCCATTTCACCCACAGCTTCATCACTTGCAATTGGACCTGAAACCGAACAGCCCAGTTCAGGCACCTTATGGCGGTACCTACACAAACGCAACTCGAGGCCTCCTGTTCCTGGCCAGCTGGGCATACGCGGAAAGCGGCAGCCTGCGAGGAAGTGGCGCTGCCCTGCTTCCGTCGCTCGCTGCGGTTGCTGATGTGTTGCACTCTGTCAGATACGGTCCACAGCCCAGAACGGAAGGGATACCCAGGTCAAAGGGCGCCATGTTTGTTTTCAGGGGTTCCCAGAATAAGATGCCGCAAGCATGCCTTTTTTGGGAATACTTCAAAGAAGGTCCCAAAGCTTGAGGGGGTCCTCTTCAGAGATTTGGAGATTTGGGACGGGGCAATTAGGTTCTTTCTTAAACATTAGGACTCCAGGATCCTTCTACATTTGACCGTTCCCCAACTGTGAGGGGTGGTGCCATTTGTGCAGGAAGCCCTTTTTCGTTTGATTCAATGCTAAACGGACGCTAAAAAAAGTCACCGAAGACAAAGTTGGACCTTGGCAGTCTGATTTTGCACTATAGGGTCATGACCGGGACCTCAAAAACAATCTATGAGGACCCCAAAACCAGTCGGCACCCTTCAGTGTAACGAAGTTACTGCCTTTGGGCTGGCAATCGACAGCCGCAGCTTCTTCAGCCCAAGCCAGAGCCACGGTACCTGGCTGTAGCCGAAGCCCAAGCCGCGCCCTCCGACGCCATGGGCGACTGGGCCTCAGCGCGTCAGCACGGGTCCCACCGCCGCCCCTTGCCGCGGTGGTGGCGCACGGAGGGCACCACGGCCAAAGGACGGCCCTGTTGCAGCGGCTCGGAATCAGAGCCGTGCGCAAATGGGTCTGCCGATTTTATGGCGAGCTCACGGATCCGGGGGTAGAAGCTCACCAGGATGTAGGTCCTTTTGCCTGGGGATCCCTGAACTCAGCTTTTGGCATTGGAGAATTCGCATGTAGGTTCCACCGGTTTCAGATTGGTTTTATGCCCCAGTCAGGGAAACCCATCAATTTGTTCGAAAGGTCACCTATAGCGCTGTCACGTTTTTTTTCCGATCGGCCCAGAAAAAGGCTCCAGAGAGGCTCCGCTCGCGACCTGCAAGATCTTTGGGTGACGAAAGCGGTTCCCTGTCAGTGCAACTGGCCAATAGGTATGGATTCGACGTCCATGTTGAATCGCCTGGTTTCAACACCCCAACTTCTACAAACAGATTAAGATGTAACCCGACATGCGGGCTCATGGGCAAAAAGGAGATTCCTCCAAACACACTGATTTTGGAGCGTTACGTGTCAATGTGCAGGGGTGTTTGCAACCTGGACGAAAAGCCGGGCAACTACGGCAGATGGCATTGCTTGGAACCGGCATAGGGCCATGAAATTAGACCAGAAAGATGAATCCCAGTATTCGGATGCATTTAAGAAGGGGCCCTCAGTATCCCTTGTTCAGTGATTCCATATAGTTGCGTGAAAGTAGATGGCGCAATTCCCCCCATTTTGCTTTAGTCATGCCCTTGACTTACCCACGAGGGAGTTGCCATCTATTTTGATTCAGGTGGTAGTTGTTTCAATGGTGCCCCTTGGTTGCCCTCCGTGGCCAAGAAAAGCTGGAGCCTTGCAACGGCCATTGATTGAAACCTGTCTCACCGAATCGGGGCCATAGGTTTAGGTTTCTTTGAATGCCAACCTAAATGCCAAATTACTTTGCTTGTTTTGCCCCAGGCGCATGACCCCTCCAACAAAAGTTGCCCGGGGCCCTCCAATGAAGAGCCCCCTCCATTCCATTTGAAAACAACGCATGTTGAAGGCCCAAAAACAATCCTAGGTCCCCCAATAGTGCCCTTTTACCCTTTTTTGGGGGAGGGTTCCCCTACTAAAATACACAGAACAAAACATCGGGTACCTTTATTCTATCCTCTCTACTGCATGGAGGACCACTCGAATCAATCCCCTTGAAAACGGCCCACTTGAGCATATGGGGGGTTGATTTGTCTTGGCACGTCCTCCGAGGAGATGCACCAGACTACTCAGGCCTGGGAATCGATGACTCATTTGGGCCGCGCTCATTTGGGCCATGGGTCACATATATATATATAATATATATATATATATATATGGTACCCTCCCACTGGAATAATCATGCATATATATATATACATACACATATATATATATATATCATCCTCTTTCCTGACGAACTTCTTTTGCCCCTAGTGTATTGGACGTGGGTGTGTGATTTTGTTTGCCCCCCTCGCGGATGATGCTTGGTTTGTTTCTTTACTAGGTCTGTATTTTTCGGCCAGTTGGCTGGTGGGCTGGTTGGCTGGTTGCTTGGGGGGCCATATTCTCAGCATCGCCAACCCGCTTGGACCCGGGCTGCCGAATGGCTCTGGTGGCTGGCTTGGGATTGGTTTTGGAGCGTCGCCGCAAACCACGAAGTGAAGCCCAAACCCACAAAAGCAAGCCACCTGGCACAAGTTAGCCTTAAGTCAACTTGAAACCCAGAGTCAAGCCCAAACCCAACCAACAGCTGGATATCATCCCTTTGCCGAGCCGAATTCCAAGATCCGCCCTCAAGGGACCAATGCTCTAAGCCTGTGAGAGTGTTTGCACTCAGTTGCTTGCACCAACCCAAGTGAAGGAGGGGTCAGTGTTGCTATGGCATTCGAATCTTCGAATCGCCAGGCTGGCCCACCTCTGGCAGTGCAGGGGACCACATGCTGCTGAAGATGCGCTCGGCGGGCAGAGGGGGCCACGTGGCCGCTCGGAGAGAGGCACCGGGCCAGCCTGGGGCAGAAGAGACTGGAATTGTCCAAAGGAACTCCATTTATAGTCGTTCCCTAGATAGGTGAAAGCTAAAATGTTGAACCCGGATAAATAAACCCCTGTTTATCAATATGGGGGCGTCCTCGGTTTTAGTGAGGTTTATCACTTTTGGAGAGGAGCACCCCCATAGACACAAAAAATAAAAAAAGAAATAAAAAAACGGGGTCAACATTAGGGGTTCTGAGTTCTAGTAAAGAGGGAAAGTGTTTTGCGAGATTGACGGCAGGGTACCAGAGGTGCACGTGCAGTTTGTGGGTGCTGTTAGGGGCGATGGTGCGGGCGCAGTTTTGCGAGATTGCCGGCCGAGTGCTAGCGTGCGGGCGCATTTTGTCGAGATTGACGACAGGGTGCTAGTGGGAGGGCTGTTTGGGTGCATTGTTCGGGGTGCTGTTGGAGGTGCTGGTGGCTGTGCGGGCTGGCGCTGGTGGCGATGCGGGCATTTTTCCGCAGATAACGCAAAGCTATTAGGGTGTCTTTCTTCTAAAGCTGGGCAAGCTATTTTGCGATCAGGCCAGGTTGATGTTGCAGGTTTGGTTAGGGAGCTGTTCGGGGCGCGCTCAAGGTGCTGTGTGGTTGCTGGCAGTGCCTGTTTTGCGATACAGTCAGTCTCGGAAGGGTGCTGTTTCGGGTGTTGGTCAAGGTGCTGCCAGTTTCGTGTGCTCGGGGTGCCGCAGTACGTAGTGGCTGGCGGTGCTTGTTTGGCGATGCAGTCAGAATGCTGGTCAGGGTGCTGCTGACGTCTCCCAACTTCCGGGGTCTATGCTGGTGTATTTTTCTGGGGGTCTGAAATTGTTCAAATGGGTTTCCATTCCCAGCTTTGTTTCCCGCTTCCACAGGGATCTCCAGTGGAATTGAAGGGATCGCCCTCCGCCCCCACCTGTGCCTCTACAGGGACGGCTGATGTTTGCGGGTGTCGTTGCCCTTCTTTGCCCTACCTATAAGGGATAGATAAAAAGTTTTGGAGGACGACAAATGTCCCACTCAGTGGCGCTTATACCCTGCTCCCTACGAAAACGATTCTAAAGCGGGTTGGCAACCGAGGCTTCCGTGTTTCTACCAGCGTCACTGAACACTTTGTTTCCCCAGTTGGACTTCTTGCCTTTTTGGCAAGACCGTTGTGGCAAACCCAAAGTGTGGACATTTTGGGAGGGCCTAAAATGAAAAGCCTGGATTAGTCACCCACTAATGGCTTGCCCGCACTTTTCGCCCAAAGGGCGATATGCTAACGAGTCACCCGAACAAAGCAGAACTGCTTGATTTTCATGGGGAAATGTGCCATCTGAGAGGGGATTCGGGGGTTACTTTTTGGGGAACATGCTTTGAGTGGCAAGCGCCAAGAGCAGGCTGGGCCTGATCGAAATTTCCTGTTGGACAACATCAATGGTTTCCCTCAAAAGGTCTTACTTTTTGCCTCTTGGCACGATTCAAACTTGCCCAACAAGTTTTAGCAAAAGACACCCGCACCAAAAGCAAGCCTGGTGGGTGCGGCAGCGAGCTTACCAAAGGACCACCTTGTGTGGCCCATTGCGTATCGCATAGCCCCAGCCCTCACAGTGGCCAAACCCTGGCACTCTCTTCACTGGTCTTGGAAGACTGTTTTTGTTTTGATTTTGGTTTTGCCTATATCTTGTGGGGGCACCGAAGTAATTTCCAGACCAGTGGATGGGACAGCTCCTCCTTTCGGACGGTCAAAGGCACTACACCCGTTTGCAGAATTTGCTCACTGCCCGTTTCTGGATACTTGCGTGGAAGTCCTATGTGGCAACAGGTCGAAGCCACTTTGGCCATTTGCCCACGCGGAAATCGGTGCTTGGCCCACGTGAGGCTTCAACCTTTTGGCTCCAAAAGCATGTGGACTTTCTTCCGCGGGTCCGCAGAAGCGCGTTTTGACAAAGGTGAGGTGTGGTGCCGTCTTTGTTTGCATTTCTTTAATTTAGTTTGGTTCTTGGCATTTTGCGAACCACTATTTGGACATAAAAAGAAGAGGTCATGAGTTCTGCTTCGAAATTGTTTTAATCAGTCAGTAGCCGCTTGTAGCCGAGGCTAACTCTGCCATGGTGCGACACATCCAGCTGAAGCATGCAGCCTTAAAGGCGTTTCTCAAAGTGGTTTGGTTCCTTTTGGTTTACCTTACCATCCAAGAAGGGTAGAAGCCATATTTTGAGAAACACCCATGTGCCATTTGTTTGGAGCAAGGTCAATGGGTTTCCTCTAGTAAGCGCCGCATTTTCGAATCGCACAAGGGTGCGATTCGCGCCCCATGGCTGCATCTTTTTCCCCGAGCGCAACTCAGGACTGGG